CCCACACACACACACACCCAGCTGCTGTAATAGAGATGCTCTTTGTACAGCAGTTGAGGTTTTGACAGCCCTGAGGTGTGACTGTGTGCAGCTTCAGACCTGTCAGAAAAGGTGCAGCTGATGAGGAGCAAGTGTGCTCACTGAGCCCTCCAATGAAAAATAAAGATTTCCCACTGAGGGGAAAGTGTCTCCTCCTTGCTTGTAAGGACTGAGAAGCATTTTACTGCCACTATGAATACCACAACTGTCTCCTTCTCTTTTCCTTCATTTGCTTTGCATCACCTCCAAAAACCGATGTGAAGGCATTTCTTTCGAATCGACTCGGAAACCTTTTGGTCTTTTATGGATACTGGGCATAATGGGAGTGCAGAACACATGGTGAATGTGGTTCATGTGATCCTTATTGTGGTATGATTGATATTTAGAAACTAGAGATGCCAGGGTGTGATCAGTAATGTAATGTAGTCTGGAGACAAAATGTTAATAATGAATGAACTTTGATGAACGAGTGTGATTGAGGCCTGCCGTTATACAATACAAGTTAAAAAAACATACAATTTTCTTAGTAGTGATAGGTTCTACAGAGCCCTCAGGGTCTTGAGTAGTATCGTAACGAGTGCTATAATAGATACTCGAACCATATCTTGTATTTCTAGCACTCAGGTGCTTTCTTTTTATAACTAATTGCAACAACATGGTGGATAGTTGGACGAACTTGGCACTTAATATTAATCTCTTCCGTTTTTGTGCTCTGCACTTTTGACCTAAAAGGTGCAAAATGATTAACATTTGAAGCAACATAATATGCAGTCATACATTTGGGAAAAAGTTTTGTATGAGAAAATATTTTCTAGTAACTCAAAAAAGAGAACTATTTTCCTTTTACCAATCTCAGATGTGTCATTCTAGAATAAAAGAAGAAATGTTAGCTGGCTGCCTCTTTTGGTTCATGGATTAAAACAGTAGAAGGAGAAAAACAGTTCCTATGTAATGCAATGTTTGTTAGTGTTTTGACGAGTCAGGTTCTGGAAAGAATCATTAATCAGAATCAGAATACTTTATTAATCCCAAAGGAAATTATGTGGTCAAAGTTGCTCCAAGACAACGAGAACAGTATGATGTTGTCCAAGAGGAAGCAGACGGTTTTACAGTCAGTGTCTCAAACTGGAAAACTCACACTCAAGCCATTTGTGTGGATAAGCAACACTAAAGTGCAGAAAAAGCTTAATTTAAATTTTGTGGTGAACTGCCCCTTTAGGTTTTTGTTAGAGACAGGTTTGCCAGCACTCAAATATCCCTTTTGACTCTGTTTAAGCTTTGTAGCAGTCACTCGTGTAGATTTCCAAGCCAATCAATCCTCCTGCCACGATGACTTACCTCTTTCTTTGTCTCTTCAGGCTACGTCAGTGATTATCTGAGTCCTAATCCTTACGACGATGTGGTTGGTAGCGATTCATCAGTCATCTCTAAAGTACCCTCCCCGAGCCACTCATCGGTCATCTATGGCCGCATCAACAACACATATTCTGGCATCCATGGTGATATCCATGGCGATTCGGACCAGCCAGACAGTCCCCGGTCCGAAGTTTCGTCATCAGCCGGGGGATACATCAACGGCGACACAGCTGTGAGTGAAGGATACAGCGTGGATGCGTTTTTCATCATGGACGGACGATCACGAAGGAAAACCACGGGAACCCTGAGGGGAACTGCCCAGCGGCACACCTGCAGTGAGTGTGGTAAAACCTACGCCACATCCTCCAACCTGAGCCGGCACAAGCAGACGCACAGGAGCATAGACAGCAAGATGGCTAAGAAGTGCCCCACATGTGGGAAAGTGTACGTCTCCATGCCAGCGATGGCTATGCACCTCCTGACCCACGACCTCAAGCACAAGTGCGACGTGTGCGGCAAAGCGTTCAGCCGGCCGTGGCTGCTGCAGGGCCACATGCGCTCGCACACGGGGGAGAAGCCGTTTGGGTGTGCGCACTGTGGCAAAGCGTTTGCTGACCGGTCTAACCTGCGTGCTCACATGCAGACACACTCAGCCTTCAAGCACTATAAGTGCAAACGATGCAACAAGACGTTTGCACTCAAGAGTTACCTGAACAAGCACTATGAGTCGGCGTGTTTCAAGGGGGCGTTCTCCCCTCTGAGCTCCCTGGGAGAATGACTGGGGTGGTTTTAATTTGTTTACATGCAATTTTCCTGGCCTCATTCCCTACTTTTATTTCTTTCCCCCAAAAAGCAGAATCTGAGTGTTACAAGGTAGGAGTGTTTTCTCTGCAAGAATCACGAGGTATATGACAAAAATAGATTGAAGGCATCCGTTCCTATCAAGAACCCTCCAATCTGTCCTTTGTTTTATCTTCCCTCATCTGAGAGTGGAGTGAAAAGTTTTCAATGCCTAATTTAGACTGTCACCTGCGTCGATAAGTTACTTCCCGTTGAGGCTTTTTGAAATATCTGTGAAGATAAATAAAGCACAGCACATCTAGCTCATCATTTTTGAAGATACCTAGATCTATTTATGTCCATATCTACCCTCAGCATTCTGTTATTTTTTTTGTTTTCCCAATCCACCAGGAAATGACACTAAAGCACAACTCATCTCCAATCTCCAAGCATGAATCACATCATCGGTTTTCTTCCAGTGAGATTCAATGAGCTTTCAAGTTTTATGCGTTTCTAAAAACAGACCTTCATAATCTAAGGATACATGTGGTGTCCTGCTTTTACTGAGACCGACCTTGGACTGAGCTTACAAAGATAAAGCATCAAAACAAGGAAAGCACACAGCGTTTCTCCTGTGCAAGTAAACAAGATACTTGTAATGATATTTATTTATACAACCGGACACCCGCAGTATACAGTGTCTGTATACGTGGCTTCTGACATTACCACAATGAACTGTGAAGAAAAGACACACCTGTCACAATGTGGTAGTACAGGCAGTACACCTGTGTGGTGAGAAATGACGTATTTTTAAAAACCGTGGACAAAAGAGCTCTTTTCTTTACTTCTAAGTAATGTTGGGATATGCGCTTACTTAACCGCAAACAGTGGACCGTTATGAGTTCCAGTTCAGGATCAGATGGCTAAAAACTCCCACTGAGCCACCAGGGTATTCCTTAACAGTTTTGCTATAACCTAAATCTGATGTTATTATTATTATTATTATTTTTTAATTTGTCAGTGTTGGATGGGGATGGAGACATTAAAAATGTCCTGGATTTCCTCAAAAGGTCAAACCTTTTTCCAGTGTTGTATAATAGTTTAGTTGCATCAAGAAGCACAGCATTCATCTTTGAGGTTTTTATCTTTTTTTAAAAAGATGTGTCTATTTATGATTTATGTATTTATGCATTTATTTACATATGCATTTACATTTGTATTGATTTGCACTTTACTTTGTTTTGTTTTTTTTTGTTACAAATATGCCAAAGCATTTGACACTTTCTAATTAATGAATATCTTTTTACTTTTGTCAGCCACTTTAATTATTTAAACTAATGCATGCAAAAAAAAAAAAAAGAGAGGAAAAAAAATAATAGCCTAATAATGGAATCTATGCCAATTTTATGAATCTTTTTTGGATATTTTTCCAAACCTCTTAGATAACAGGCAAAACCGAACAAATTTCTGTCTTGGGCAATATTTCGTTGATATCCGATAGAGCAATAATGCATGATATTTTTGAAGACACGTGAGTCATAACTGCTTGTAACATCTTGATTTTTTTTTCTTCAAATGCCACTATTCTATGTAGTTACGAGAAATGACATTTCAGGGAGTTAGCGAACCAAGTTAGTGTTAAATAATGGCGGGTTGGGTTTGGAGCTCTAAATTTACAGGGACTGTGATGCCGCTGTGACAGCCGGTCAGAAAGACCAAATTGGAGTGAGCAGGGAGTCTGTTTTTCAAACTCAGCTGCTTTGGTACACAGTGTGGAAAACGTTGCCTCCTAGTTACAATTTTATATTGGTATCATTATAATCTTATAGACAGTTGTGTCTGTATGAGTATTAGCAGCTGCTGGGGCTTCCTGGGGTTCACACAGGTGGTTCTACTCCTTTAGACAGAGGGCTCTGGGTTGGGTCGGGATGGGTCTTTTTGTACATGGTTTATGCACTGCCTGCCTCGTATTATTATTCTAAAATATCGTAGAGAGTAGAAGGTACTGCTGTAGGCCTCTGGTGCTGAAACATGGACGAAACGCAAACCCTGAACAGTTAAAACTGTGGCCACTCTTCTGCCTTGGTAGCATATTGGAATTGTTTAAGATGTGAAACAACAGCTGTGCTGCTGAACCGGCTTCTCTTTTATCCTCACTAGTCCTTGAACACAGCCAGAGTTTCTTCCTATAAGTTGGTCACAATTATTGTGCTCTCTTCTCAGTATTTTTTTTAAATCCAATCAGAAGATCAGTTTTGCTCGAGGGCTTTACATGAAAACACCAAACTCCATTTGAAGACTCAAAGGCTCTTCCTGATTTCAGGTTGTTTTTCTTTTCATCATCTCTGGCTGTTGTGAATTTAATGTGGCAGTTCTCGATGTGATTCTGACTTTTGTTGAGAACGAAGAGGAGACATTTGGTCAATATTTCAGCACCAGAGTGCATCGCCGAACACTTAGATTCTACTATGAACTACTGTAGCCTACTATAGCCACAAGCTAGTTTACCTATTCTTATATAAAAGCACTTCCTCTTATGAATTATAACCTAAAACCTTTTCTTTCAAAGATAGTAGCACAATGAAAGAGTTTAGATTCAGGTAGACGATGCCTTGTATGTAGAAATAACCTCTTTCTCATTTTTCTACTACAATGATTCAAAGATAGAAACGGCAACAAATATGCCGATGTAACACAGGCTGTTGTCCTACACCACAAAATACTGTTAAAAATGACACTTTCAGTATGTGTTGTGTCATTTTTCTTAATATATTTGTGAACGCAACTACACCACACCTTTTTTAGAGTAAATAAAAACCTAACTATTTTGCAGCAAGAGGCCTTGTAAATAAGCACTGATGTGACTTTGGAGTCTGATTATTTCTACAGAACTGTAACGAGTGATGATGATGATGATGATGATGATGATGATGATAATGATGAAGGGGAGAATGATGAATTCTTTTGGAGCTTCCTGCTTTGTTTTGAGTTCTTCCTCTGAGGTTTTTTTTTAGAGACCTCAAATGGCCGGTTTGAAACCATGTAAAGCACAAAGACAACACTGGGCATTTTGTTTCACTTCCTAAATAAAAAAATACTTTAAAAACAATTTTGTTTGTTTTCTCCTTTTCCCCCCGCATAACACAGGTGTAAATGTTAAGTAATGATCATTATGATAGCCTTTAGTCATCATGCCATTAGGCTGAATCAAACATAAAAACACTGGAACTTCATTAGGTACACCTGCTGAACTATTTAACACAAATATCTAATCAGCCGATCACATGACAACAACTCAGTGCATTTAGGCATCTCAAGACAACGAATTGAAGTTCAAACTGGGATCCTAATGGGGAATAAATGTAATTTAAGTGACTTTGTTTTGGTATCAGATGACTATTTCGTAAACTTCTGATTTACTGGGACTTTCCCACACATCAGTTTACACAGAATAAGAGAAAAAGAAAAAACATCCAATGAGCAACAGTTCTGTTTACTGTTAAAAAAAAAAAACCCTAATGTGACAGATTTTTACAGAGTTTTGATACAGATCATAAAAAATTCCCAAAAATTGGTTCTTAATCAACATGTCTAGTGTAAAATGCCCATAACTGTAAATAAACATGAAATTTATTTTAATTTACTTACTTTTTTTGATTCATAAATTGTATTTTTCCTTATAAAAAGAATAAAATTGAATCTAATTTCACAAATATCCATTTTTTATGCTGTACATGCAAATATTTAAACATTTTAAATAGAGCAGAGAAGTTTCAGTAATTTATATAGATTTGATTGTCCATTGTTATGTAATTATAGAAGTTTTTACCCCCCACAAAGTTTTAAAGATTTTATATATTTTTTTTAATGAGTATATGTCATGTTGAAGTATTAGTAAACTGAAGTAATTATAATTAATTTCACCAATGGAAGATTTTTTATTAGTTGTATATTCTTTAATATTACTGATCAAATTGGTAAAATTACAGAAAAGAATAATAGAAGATAGAAATTTTATTTTATTTTAGTCTTCAGATATCTTAGTTTAAACAATATTTATTAAATACCTTTACAGTCCAGAGTCATTAAAAATACGATCAATAGAATTTCTATAATTTTTGAATCTTTTTTCAGTTCTGTTTAATTCAGTTTTATTCATATAGCAGAGTCACCTCATTTTACAATATCAACAGCAGTTAACTTTTAAATCAATAAAGACACAGCAAGGAAACAAGTTCAAAGAACCAGGTAAAGCATGACAAATGGACTTTGGATTTTGGTGTTTATTTTACAGGAATTTTCTGTTTTTAATCATAAAGAATTTCTATTCCCATATAGAATTTTTCCATAAATAATCTATTTTGTCTGTCAGTACAGTATTTCCAACTACAGCAGCAGATTCCCCTTCTGTCAACTAAGAACACCAAACTAAGGCTACAGTTCACACAGGCTCACCAAAACTAGAAGATTAGAAAAACGCTGTCTTTTGTAATGAGTCTTGATTCCTCTGTGAGAGTCACATGGCAGGGTCAGAATTTGGTGAAGACATGAGAGCATAGATCCATCCTGCTTTGTATCGTTAGTTCAATATGGTGGTGGTGTAATGGTGCGAAGAATAGTCTGTCGTAGGACCAACTGAGAATTGTTTAAACACCGCAGCCTCCCTGACTATTATTACAGAACATGTCGATCCCTTTATGACTACAGTGTACCCATCTTCTGATGGACAGGACAGTGCCTCACGCCACATAGCTCAAATGATCTCAAACTGGCTTCTTGAAGGTAACGATGAGTTCACTGTGCTCAAATGGCCAGCACAGTCACCAGATCTCAATCCAGAAGAGCACCTTTGAGAACAGCAAATTTACATTGTTGATTTTCATCAAACCTGCAGCAACTCTGTGATGCTATCATGTTCTTTCCAGCCACCTGTTGAATCTGTGTCATGAAGAATTACAGCATTTCAGAAGGCAAAAGGGGTCCAACTTAGCAAGCTGTAACTTGCTCCTAGTTTCTTTTTTATACACTCCTTATAGGTAAGTCCCCATGCCCTTCAAAGACTATGACCTAAGTTTGTAACACTGATTTCAGTAGTCTCTGAGCCAGTGATAAGATGGAAGGATTTTAGCAAAGCTTATGTATCCTTAAGAGGGCTGAATACTGTGTCTCACAATGTCCACACTGAGCTTTATCTATAAATGAGTTGCAATGACCCTTTAAAGAGCACACTATAAAAAAAACCTATTCCCCATCACGATGATCTTTAGCGTGATATGACATGGTGAGATTAGCCAATTGACAAATCATCAGTCATGTAAAGAAACAGCTTGAGCCCAGTGAGAACATGTTCGCTAAAAAAATATAGTAAAAGCTGAATAAATATTGTCTTTGGCCCCAGTGCATTCATTTCCAAGTAAACAGTTAATTAGTTTTTATAAAACATTAATCAATTTGATTTGCCTGCAGTTTTAAAAACTGCAGCTGATTATCGTCTACAAAGCCCTCTTGCTTTTTCTTTTTTTTTTTTTTTTACCCCATGGCGTCTCTGCAGAGGTCAAAATCTCAGCTCTGTTTGTGTATGTGTGTAATTTTTTTTACTGTTCAAACTGGATCTCACTCCCAATCACAGAAGCTGATGTCAGTGCAATGTCTTTAACCTTGACAACAAGGATGCAGAATTTGTGCATGTGTCCAAAATGCTTGTGAATGTCTTTGCTCAAAAAACAAAAAAACAAACAAGCAAACAAAAAACAAAAGCAGAGGATTTGTAATTTGCCTCAAGGATTTTGGACATAAAAAACATTTTTAACCTTAGAAGGATTCTGACAGTAATAGGGTTTAACAGCATGTTGTATTATCGAAGTAACAAACACATACTGTAATGGATGCACTACTATTTGTTGCTCTGCTAGTTGTGTTGTCTGAAATAATTTAAATAACAACAGAAATGTTGGAAACTCATTATAAAATACTCTTTGTAAAAAATCATGATGCAATAACATTTCTTTTACCATAACCACAAGAACAGTGCTTGTGTTGTGTAGACTGTAAGCACTTAAAGTCAGAGTAAATGTACAGTGAATTGTAATGAGGTGCTGCCACCATGGACATAAATCGATTAAGAAGAACATTTGCCTGAGTTAAGCATGCATACACATAAACATGTGCGTACCTAAAAGACTGCAGTCATTCTGAGGCATATCCTCATATTCTGTCATTTTTACAGACTGATCAGGTTATTTCCCCCAAAAAGGACTACTGCTTGTGATAATATAGTAGTTAACTAAGAAATCTGTGAAAATCAAAAATTTGCTTCCATCTACATACACGGAAATTCAAATTTATCTAACCATCATTGAGTTGAAAGAAAATTTCAGAAATTCCTCAACAAATACTGACATATTTGTTGCTGCAGGATGGTCATTTGTCTGCAAAATGGCATGTAAGCTCTCAGCAACCTTGCTTTTATATAGAAATTTCACAGGCTGACAACCAATTGACAACCAGTCGGCAACTAGTTGTGCTAAGAGAGTGATTTTGACTTATTGTTACTTATTGTTACTGTTATTTATAAATGGCAGTTGTTTGCAAACATTTGCCTCAACACAGAGTTTGAGGGTGTTGCATGCTAAACCTCTCTGTGACTAGTTGTTTGCTGCAAGTACAGCAAAATAAATAAACAAAAATTAAATTAAGCTTATGGCTCCTTTCCTGGTTTTTCGGCTGCAAGCCTGTTCTTTACATAAGTATTGCTTTGCCACTCAGACAATCTCAGTGCTGACATCATTACTCTAGTCCAGTCATATTCTTGTCTGCCTTTTTGAGCCAGTCAGCGTCCACTTGGTGGTTTAAAATCTGTGCTCTCTGTCATTCTCCCTTTCAGACTCTTATTTGTGCAACCCACCTGGTTCCATCTCCACCTCACCTGAGTTACTCAGGGCTTCATCCATCCCTCAGTTTTCATCTTCACCACCACATCTAGAATCCTCGGGATCCAGTCCTAAATCCTATCATTGCTGGGATTTCATTCTGCTATGATGGGTCATCAGAGTCTAATTGCCAAATACATTAATTAATTTCTCTATCACAATAAATCATCTTCAATTCTTCCAAATGATCTCCCCTTATTGAAATGTAATCAGTGGGCAAACAACATTTTTTCCTAGTTGCAAAGAGTTAGTCATCCTATTTTTACTGTAATATGACTGAGCCATCAGGACTCTGATATGAACAACTATCCGAGCATGTTCACAGAGACACTTATATCATGCTGATATTTAACTGATATGCACCAGTGTCTTAAATCAGATGCTTATTTACTTGCACTCACTATTCACATTCAGAAGTGGTTGAAATTGAGAAGTGTGACTTTATGCAGTTCAATGTAGGTAGAAGGTTTACTCTCAATGGTCCAAAGGTTGTGTGTGTAATGCTGCACACTTTCCCTTAGTGGGCACCACTTTGGGTACATGGAAGTGAAGGTACTACCACACTATTTTCTGCAAATAAATTGTCACAGCTAACACAACAATTATGGTCAAACACTGAGATTTGTGACACCCAATACTACGCAGTGTACACAAGACATCACATGAGCATATGGCAAACATGAGTTTGCCATATGCTCATGAGTAGTTGTCCTAATTATGCAAACTGGCACATTAGTAATGTGTACTTTGTAGGTGTTATCAAGGTAACTTCTAATATGGTTTTAAATTCTATCTTCCTTTGCCAGATTTGCTGCTAAATCTAAAATCCATAATGCATCATTTACTAACTATAATCCACCCAAGCTCCAGCACCACATTATTTTTAGCTCTAGTCTAAATTTAGCATGACTAACTCTCAGATGCTTTTACTGGAATCCAATAAACTCCTTAACAGTGAAACTTAGACCATTATCTGCCATATGGAAGCTCCCATTGACTGCATCTGGCTACCATCTGCCGACAGTATTTTAACTGTGAAGACAAATGAGCTTTTATTAAAGGTGATTGATTTTCTCCTATTGCTACTAAAGGTATTGATTTTTGTTATATTAGCTTTGTTTCACTTATTGTACTAATTCTAAAATCCAGTGGACCTTAAAGAATGCTTCCTCGCTATAAT